ACAGTACCTTTCCTGTTTTGTCTGGTTTGATGCTGGCGTGTGTTTTTTAAAACCACAGCAAACTTAAGAAAAATCCCCCATTGAACAACATAATGACTGACTCCAATTCTACAGTCCATCATCCATTTTCTAATCACGTCTTTCAATTCAGGGTCACACGGGAGCCAGAACAATCCTGGCAAGCAACAGGCGCAATGCAGGCTACATCCTGTCCATTGCAGAGCAGACACACACAGACACAAACACACACAACAGGGCCACTTTTCTGAGAACCCTACTAACCTTCCAGATTGGTTTTGGAATGTAAGAGGAAACCAGATCCCTCAGAGGAAACCCCCATGAACACACCTCTACCATACGTGTCAAAAGCTCACTCCCCATAATTTCTATCCCTTTATTTTATTCTGTTGATGCATATTTTTGCACATAACCTATTACCTTTTTGTTGTTTTGCACATTGCCTGTTGTTGTTTTTTGTACATTGCCTGTTGTTGTTTTCTTGCACATCGTCTGTTGTTGTTTTTTGCACACTGCCTGTTGTCTCTGTCTTTCTTTTGCTACACAATTGTATTGTTGTTGTTGTTTTTTTCTCTTTGTACTACTTATGTCCAAGAGCTAGCTAAATAGCATTTCGTTATACCATATACCATGTATATGAGTGTAATGACAATAAACTTGAACTTGAACTAGAACAGGGAATAAGAATAAATTTAACACAGATAACACCCCAAGTCTAGAACTGAAGCAAGGGCAACTGCAAAGCAGCACTGGTAACCAATATGCTAGCATGCTCCCCTACAGTCTAAAAAAAATAATTAAACTCAAAGTACAGAGCTACAGTACGTCATAAGAATATTTGTTGGAATCTGTGTCCTTGATATTAAGTATTTGTCTACAAATATTATTGTAACTTGCTTCAGCACTGCTCAACTTGCTTTATTAATGCTTCTGGAAACAGTAGCAGAGCACATACACTATTTTCTACATCATGGTTGCACACTTCCTCTCCATAATGTTTATCAGTTTGCGATAGCTTGCCTATGCCAGGGACACTGAAGTCCTTGCCATGGTTTTATTAAAGTGTTGACCAAATCCAATACAGCCCTCTGAATGCCAGTCTCCAGACATTCCATTTCTCTGTATGACGTTAATGGGACCTACCATTTCCGCAGGCACAGAATTTGCAGACTCAGTGGTGCCTAGTTCAGTGGTGATTGCATGTGCCACCGGGGTGTTATTACGAAGAGCAGTGTGATCGTTAGTGCAATTTATAAAAAAAAAAAGCACTAAAAAGTCACTGGCTATTGCAGCTGTAACGAGATTTGTTATTTTTGTGTATTTCTGTTCCCATGGCCACAGAGAAATGACTTTCAGCTTGAAAAAAGTTGTTTTAAGATATTTTACTGAACTTCAGAGGTCTTTTATGAACAGCGGCAGCCTGGTAGTTCTCCCTGTGCCAGACATCCACTGGCAATCCTGAAAAAGAGTTGCTGTTGATATTTTTGTATATCTAGTATCAGATAAGAAGTCACCTTTTTTAAAGTAAGCTTGTGCCTTTGGACCTATTACACAATATTGTTTTATTTATTTTTTATTCAATTGAACAAGTACATCAATTGAGAATGTTTTCTCATTTAATGACCTGGAAAACATCCATTCATATTTCAGAAAACAATTTTGGAGCCAGTAAGTATCGGGGTAAAAGCACCTTTTCAATCAGGATTTGAACCTGATTCACTGGACTAGAGACTAGAGACTAGGGGCACTCAGACTAAGTCAACAGCTTACTTTGCTCACTATTTTTCTGTCTTTATGCTTGTCTCCGGATTAATAGAGTTATATATATATATTAAAGCAAGTATTAATTAATGTATTTTTTATCTCAAATTTGTGTGAGAGGAAGGTTAGATCCTAATCTCACACTCTTCCACTTGCCTATATTGTATACTGGATGTCAGGGATGTCACGGATGTCGGAAAGGGCTAGCCTTGGAATGGCAGGAAAGGAAAAAAGACCCTATGTGTAGCGGCAAAATGGGGTTTAGCCCGGGCTCAGGAGGTCAGACGATGTCGGGTAGAAACCTATGTCCTCAGGCCGTGGAGGAGACGACCTGGTTCTTGGCAGGTCTCAAGACATCCGATCCCTCAATGCTGAGCGAGGAGGAAAGGGTGACCCGGAAATATATACTGTAGCCCCAAACAAAGACACGCCGGAAGGACAAGCAAAGCACAGGGAAACTAGGGACAGGACTGAGTAGGAGCGCCCTCTGGCTGTAGAGGGCGTGACAGTACAGTATACTGTACTGTACAGTATATACTGTACTGTAAGTCTCAAACCCAGGTTTCTCTCTCTTATTATCCCAGATAGGCTGCCATTACCTCGGCTAGGCAACCCATGCCAAATACTCCATACATATTTCGTCTGTGTCGCAATTATTAGGATCTAATTGAACTACTGAAATAAGCTTTTGTTTATGTTACGGAAAAGCACCTCTCTGTTTTTATGTCTTTACAGCATAGATGTATTTTTTTCTTTCATGACAGATGTTCAGTGCATTGTCTTACTCTCGCTCCTCTGTCAAATTATTGTTTTCAGTGGAGGAGCTACTTCTACTTACTGAACACTTTCAGAAAATAAAAAAAAACGTCTCCAAATAGAAGGAACTGAAAACAATGAAACAGTCTTTCCCATTTTCTTTGAAAATCTCCTTCTGAAAACAGAAGGAAGGAAATACAGAGCATTTAACTTGAATCAAGCCCAATTATCTGCCAGCAGGACACAACGATTATCTTGTCAGGACTGGTGTTGTATTGCATGTATTTATTTTCCCTTTCCCATTTGATGGGAAATGATTTTCTATTCTCACAAATATCTCCTTTATCAGTTAAGGGCCCCTTAGTCCTACTACACACAGCAATTTTCTTCAAGTCGGTATATTGAGGTGTTTTTAAGTTCATTTGAACAAACATAAGCTGAAAGCAGTGGCCCAGCTGTGCTACCAAAGTATTGTCATCCAGTGGCAAGCATCCCCTCCCTATGATTTTAGCTGGCTGTGTGACTGTTACAAAGTGTGTACAGGAATGTTCTAAAAATAGGAAAATAAAAAAATACACTTGATCCCAGTCCTACTACCACATTTACAAACAAATGCACTGTAACTCTAGTTCATGTTTCTTTTTTTCTCTAGTTTATCTTGCTTTCAGTAGTCCTTAAAGTAGTTTTTCACTGGGCAGCATTTCATCAGACTATTGTAAAACAATGACTTGCTGTGGTTAAATATGTTATGCACCACAGGATAGAACAATTACTATAGTAAATCAGTGGTTTCAGTTTGGTATCTGGTGTAACACCTAATGAAATCATGGTAATACCATAGTACAGAATAACACATGCTAAGCATAGTACAGTATGTTTGCATGTAATACACAGAAACCATAGTAGAAAAATTCTAAAATCTCCATGGCACTCTGCCTAGTAAGATACTGCCATTATCAAGGGACGCTCCATGTATGCGACCACACCTGGGATGATACTTATACAGTACCTGACTCTTATGTGTGAGATACCCCTACCCCCTTCCCTCACCTCAGAATATAAACAATCCACAAACACAACAAAGTCCACAGTTTACAGTCATGGCAGAGGTAAGTTACATTGACTTTGCTGTAATCCCACAACGGGTGTGAATCTGCTGTGATGGCAATGAAACGACAGAAATAAACCCAACAGTCTAGCTACCTTGGCTTTAAAGATATTACCAGAGGCTGAATGCTAATGCTGATGGAATTGTCTCACCATTTTAATTAGAATAAGTACAGAGTAAAAGCCTTTCCTGGTAAACGTTTATAGAGATGTATTTCTTTATTGAATTTCTGTGACGGTCAGGGTTCCTTAATTTGACTCAGGCGCTTTCTTTTTCTTCTGTCCCCTCCTGACAAGCCAAGCTGGTGGGCTATAATATGTATTGACAATAGAGGGAATGTTACTCAATTAGCACCGATCACAGAGAATATGCTGTGTAGGCTGGAACCAAAGCTCTCATTGCAATAAGCTCTCTCTCACACACAAAGAGTGAAAAAAGCACTATCAATGCAAGGAATTATTATTAACCTTGTTTGATACCACTGACTACACTTTGAATGACGATTGTCTGGCATTTTCAAAGCCAGTGTACCTTATGGGAAAGCTTAAGGAGATAACTCTTGCAGCCATGTGAGAGATGAGTAGGCTTCCATGTGTTATACATTGCGTGGGAGAGCTTGCATTTATTCTCATAGAACTGAAATTAATTTGTAACACTGCTTATCACAGATGGAAAGCAGCTGGAAACTAAAGCTTTAATTTTGTTGTATCCTTCTTCATAGAGCTATATCAAATTAAGAACCGTGACAGTACACACTGCTAGGTCATTAGTATGCCCTGTACTTTAAATCAGATTGATTATCTTTAGCTCAGATATTATGGAAGCTGTAAAGAAAATACAGTGGTTCTGCATTGTGAATCTGAATCACTTTGGAATATAAGATTTAATAAACACCGTGAGAGATTGACTCATGACCTATAAATAAGGATTTTTCACAGAGTATCTTAATTGTGATATTAACTGTGTACTTAAATCTGCAAAATACTGCCCCAAATTATTATTTTTGCATATATTTTATTTGATTGCATTTTGAGTTTGTATTCATGCACAGATTTGTATAATTGTAATGATAAAGCAGGGACTGCGGAGTCAGTAATTAAGCAGTTTTTCTTAAAGCTTTCTTGCAACACCCTACATTTTTTATTATTTTTTCCTTATTAGAAATTCTAATAGTACTTATAGAATAGGGAGAAGAATAGGAAGAAGAATGGAGAAGAATAGGGAAGTATTTATTCAGAAATGAGAGATGCACAAGTACATTTGTAGGACTGAAAATATCTAAGAGAAAATACAGGTGTTTCAGAAAGTCTTTCAGGAACCCTGACTTAATAATTACATCATTTTCCTTCTTCACCAGGTGAGGAATAAGAAGATGTTTCCTTTGGATTGTTCCTCCCAAGATATAATGGACAAGACCACCAAGCCAGTGCAGCTCTGAAATACCTGGAGAGACGGACAAAGGACAAGAAAATCATCCATGAACAGGAGAACTCAAATTAATTGGGAACTGAAGAGGGATATAATCAATTTTCTGTACTGCTGTCTTCAGGAGTCTTTGGCCAATTCTCAAAGAAGCCTTCAAAAAGCCTATTATCCCAGCAGTATTATTACCTGCATTTCCCTCCAGAAAGACAGGGGTTAATACAATAGTAAAAAAATGTCTATGTGTTCTTGCATAGGCATTGTGAATTGTCCTGGTTGGATTGGTTCTGAAACATTTCTAGGGGATGCCAGAGGATATCTCCGAATCTAGTTTCAACGGAATATACTGACCACATTGTTAATCTCCCACTCACTGTGATTGCTTGGTCCTACACATGACCACTTTTTATTGACATTAACATGGTCAAAGGAAATGCTGATCTGATAGTTCTGGTTCTTTAAAATAAATGTTTGTCTTCTTTGAACATCACATAGTAGAAAAGCTAAAACTCTCTGCAATTCTTTGCTGACATAACATTCCTGAGATAACTTGACCCATAGCATAAAATAAGAAAATATATACATACCCATAATTAAAGATTTCCTTTTAGGTGGGTCTATATGTGTTCCTAGCATGGGGAGAGGAGTGGAGTCAAAGTTAAGACCTATTAGAACCTGTCAAGGAGCATTGTGTTGTCATACATCATCCTTAGCTGTTTCTATTGTAAATCAGTGTCAAATGTTCACATTCTCCTGAATTCAGCACTACCACTTTCTAATTTCATTTTTTAACATTTTAAATGTCCCTTCCCAGCCTTTTAACATCGCATTGATGAATTTTGAATTGTAAGGACCTCCAATGTCTTTTATGGGTTACTAAATGCAGACTCTATCATTTATGATATTTCTAGTGTTTATTTCGTATCTATAGATTGGTTAAGGAAAAATAAAATCTTCAAAATTGGAAACATTTTCCAAGTGTTGCCCTAGTCTGTTTATATAATGAACACAATAAGAACAAAAAAGTCTACACATTTCTTGAACACTTTGTTTTTTTAAAACAGAAAAAAGACCACAACATTGAAGAACACCTTTTTTAAAGCATCACAGGAGTTGGGCATTGCAGCCAAGATTAAAAAGCTTAAAAAAACCTGAAAGTGGATTTTGCCTTTTTCAGATCCTTTCGGAACCAATTTTGGAATAAACAGAGGTGACTTACAGAATGACAAAGTTTGTTCCTTGTATATAAATACCAGTTGACGTTGTTTGTAAAAAAGTACACAGCTCCTGACTACATCTGTGAAACCAGTGCAGAGGAACCATAATTTATTTTGATGATGTGCAAGTGGGACTGTTATATTCTAACTAAATCCATCAGTCAATGAAAGAAGTCCTGATTTCAGGAAAGGTTTGCAAGTGGCGCTATTTCTGTTTCCCTGAAAGGATTTGGAGCTGAACTTTCTAATTGGTGCGGAAACTGTGAACAGCTGGAGAATCACAGCTTCAGTTTCTTTGATTCACATTCCCAGTCTCCATGTAGGATTTGAGAGGGATGCATCATGGCTCCATCCAGGAGATTGGGAACTTCCTTTGTGCTGCTGATTCTGGGAGTCTTGGACCACTGTGGATCTGTGTTCTCTATGGGCAAAAGGACTAGTGCACCTCAAGGGAAAGCTGAGGACATGAGCTTGATGTCACATGAGAGGGTAAAAAGAGGATGGGTGTGGAACCAATTCTTCGTCGTGGAGGAATATACTGGGACTGAACCCCTCTATGTTGGGAAGGTAATATAACATTTATTTTTTCTAAAGGATAGAAGGGGGCTTCTTTCTTTTTTAATGCTATCTGCAAGAATTACTATATCTGATTTTTCTGTTATATTAAAAAAAAATTGATTGAGCCACTAAACACAGCGATAATGACCCGTGAGATTATAGAGAAAACAGAAGAGCTTTACTGGAATAAACCAAAGGTACAGTACAGGTACAGTATATAAAATAAAGTTATGTGTTTGATAGAAGGCATTTTGAAAAATATGAAAGACTTATTTTTTATGCGGTTTAGAACATTAACTATTAAAAGAAGAATCCCGGATAATTTTCTTGTGTTCTGTGTATCCCTATATTCCTACTAGGTTCAAACCTAAGAAACAAAACAAGATTCAAACATTATCATTTTTTTGTGATATGTTTGATTACTCATTACCTAGGACTAGCTTGTTCCTAAATGTCCAAATGTACAGTACCATGCTGTACATAAACACACCAGCAAAAGCTGGGTGCTGGGTTGGCATTGCCTGTATACAGTATGTCGCAATAGTGTTTTATTGTTCTCTGCTGCACTCTTGATTACTGATGCCTTAGAAATCTCCTGTTTACAAATCTGCCATAGGTTTAGATTATTGTCTCATACAGTAAGTGTGTAAACTGTATACACAACAACAAGTTTCTTTTTATAGAGTGTTCTATAATGTGATTTTATGAATCATCACAGAAATATAATTGCCAAGAAAATGTGTATAATATTCTAGCTGCAATATACGGAAAAGAAGGCCACTTGTTATTGTTACTTTAAAATGCAATCCATCACTTGTATGTTTAAGTCTAGCTACTGATAATGGCAATAATATACATGTATACTGTAATCAGAGAGATTTCAGTGGACAGCAAGTTAATTTTGAGGTCTCGTTTGTGCAATTATCACAATTAATTATTTTCTTTGTTTTTTTTTTTAAGATAAAACTTTCCATTGCATCACTAATTGCAGAGCACTTGATACATACAGTAATTGCACATAAATACATTGCAGCAGTAATGTTAAGGTGAAGTGAGGAGTGGGTGAGATCACAGAGTGTGCTGCTCAGCAAATAGAGATGGCACACATTGATTTCAGGCTACTAAAAGGGAGAAGCACCTAACGCGTAGATGTGGTTTTGTAATGAGACAGGCACTGAGCCACTCAATTTAATTTAAGCTGTTAGATACAAGTTCAACTGCAAACACATACTGATACTACCCCTTGGGAACTCTGTAAGGACAAAAAAAGTGATGATAATTTTTAAAAGCTTTTTTCCTTGCAAACACATCCCTTAACTGGTGTGTGGGCAGTAAATTCACTAATCAAACGTCAACATAGGAAACTAAAATGAACGCATTACAGTTCACAGTTCAGATGTAGACAGACAGTTTTATAGTTTTTGCTAAATTCATTGTCAAGGGCCTTTTGTTCTGCAATGTGTTTCCTGCCAGGTAAACACACCAGATTATGTTTGTAAATTGCGAAAGAAGCAGTTGTTTTGGAGGTAGAAAGGAAAACAAGAAAGATTGAGGAATTGTCACAATTTGTTGTCATTTGTAGAAGAAATAAATGTCATGTTACAAAAATGCTTCCAGTGAAATAGAATTAACCTTATCTAGGTCCCAGGGTACATAAGAAGGTACTGTATAAGATATCCAGTGTATCTTGTAGTCATAGGTATTGTACTTCTTATGTTTATTTTTTTAAAAACCTGTCATTATTTTCCGCCACACATCTGCCTTAGTGTTTCTTAACCTTAGTCATAGAAGACAACCAACATGACCCTCATTGTTTTGTTGGATTTTTTTCAAACAATTATTTCAAACAAGACATTATTCAAGTGTACAACACCAATATCCCACCACGAACTCAGACCCACAATCATCTAGTCTATTTTTATCAACATGCAATGTGTTGTATCTGCAAAATTCTCAGTCACAGCAATGTAGTTATTTACATAGTGCCACAGGAAGTGTGTGTGTTAATACAGTGCTGTAGAGACATTTAGACAGTGTGTGATGCAAAGCAGATGCTCAATTAATGAAATACAGAAGTGAAAGATATGGTGAGTTAAAAATTGGATAGATGATATGCAGAGAAGTACAAAACTAAGTGCTGGGTAGAAGTGTACATTACAAAAAACAATACTGTATGTGCTACATTTTGACATACTGTAAGAGATGACATAAATTCTAAGTGTTTTATGCAGCATAGATTTAAAAATAAATTACCTGGTGAAAGGTCAACAGACCTAGACTCAGATTAGACCATTATGGCCTGCTGTATAGATAAGTTAAATGTCAATTGTGCAGTCAATGGAAACAGTTTCCATATTTCATACTTAAGATATGTCACAAGATGTACAGTATGCAGTCATATCCACGGCTGATTATTTTATACCAATTATGCAGCCTTTTTATTTTGCCCCTACCAACCCCCTTGGGTTTAACTAATTTTCCTTGATCATACTTTACTGTGTTTTACTGAGATTTACTAAACTGTCATAATACAGGACCAAGACTTACAGTACTTTAGTAGATCATCACATAGTGCCTACTATGGTGGACTACAGGAGCATCAGAAGTTAGGTTAAGCTTGTAGAAGCTGTATTAGAGCATACAGGGGAAATTAATATTAAGTGCAGAAGACAACCATGCTTTACTGTAAAGTGTTACATTTGCCATTCAAAAGTAACATGGTGAACTTTCAGCAAGAAGTAGCTCCAAGATAGACTTGTGGTTAATAACATTAAAAGCGCCAGGGGCGTCTGACAAGACTGTACATCAAACTCGATTCTGCCATCACAGAAACTCTTCACAAATTAATACTTTATTACTACACAGATGAGTCAATTTTAAGTCAATGCAAAAAGATAATGGATTATCAGTGTTACACATTATGTTAAATTATTATGACAGCAGTTAGTTTCTTATTGCATATAGAATTACTTATTCACAGGATATTCAAAATGCAAATAAGCTCTATTTTTCTAACATTCAACTACTGTACTTTAGCAATTGTAAATTCTATTTGTTTGGCCAGCCCTTTGCAGTACTAAACAGCACTTAACAGATATTGAAAAGGGGCAAGGTGCTGTTACATACAATACGCAGATTTTGGTAAAATAGACACAAAACACAGCTACAGTATAAGGTAAAAACAATGCTTTTTATTTATTGCACACACCTACTGTATGTTACCTAGCTTTTTATGCTTTGATTCACCTATTAACAACTGTGCATCTAACCTGCTTACACACTGCAAAACCTGAAAATAAATCAGTCCATTCGTTCTTCCAAAAAGAACTCGGAATGCTCCTAAAATTCCTAAAACATGCTCTCGAGCTCCATGAGTTCCAAAGTTGTTCAGATTCTTCCTTCCTTTCTCCCTTTGATTTCTTCCTTAGATATCAGACCCACATTCTGTTCTTAAATGTCATCTGACCAATTGTTTTCCTTTAATTAGTCAAGTGATAGAGGACCATTTCCTTTAATTAGAGGTGAGAGACATTCACCTTCCTGGGGAATGTACAGTAGCTCAGACAAAAGCTTTCATCTTCTAAAACTGCCACTCTCTTACAATGTGCAATGGTGCCACATCATGTAGAGACTAAATGGGACCATTCAAAGTGGAGTGTTTCTGTATAGTAAATGTAAATCATATTATGCTTGAGTATATAACCCTGCAGCTCTCAACTGGCTACCCACTGAAGCTAAACAGGGTTGAGCCTGGTCAGTATCTGGATGGGAGACCTCCTGGGAAGCTATGGTTGCTGCTGGAAGTGGTGTTAGTGAGACCAGTGGGGGGTGCTCACCCTGCGGTCTGTGTGGGTCCTAATGCCCTGGTATAGTGGCAGGGACACTATACTGTAATGGGCGCCATCTTTCGGATGAGACGTTAAACCGAGTGCTGACTCTCTGGGGTCATTTCAAGAGCTCCAGGCATTTCTCGATAAGAGTAGGGAGTTATCCCAGTGTCTGGGCCAAATTTCCTCCTTTGGCTTGCACTTTGATTATCCGGCAATGGACTAGTCCAGGGTGTACCCTGTCTTGCGCTCGTTGCTTACCAGGTAGGCACCGGCTTTCCACAACACCGTATAAAGCAGATTGGCAAATGACATGACATGATATGACATTATTCTTGAGTAATTCCCTTAATTTAACCCAGCCTTTGAATTAACAGTGCACTTTGTTGAGAGATTTAAAATAAATGCTGCTTTAAAGGATAGGTAGAACCATGAAAATACCAAAGCCAATGACTGTGGACAGCACAAATGATCTTATGTACTATATGAAATAAACTATATACATTACTGTATTTTTCTAAAGTTATTTGATGTTCTCTCAACCCGTCCTTCAGGTGGCTAGAAAATTGGGAAATGGGTCAAATCATGTTCTTCCCAGATTATTTTGCTCTTTCTGTCCAGTGCATTGTTCCCCTCCTACAGCACAGAGTGCTGAATTTTCTTCTTCAACCTGCCGAGTTGAAAGTCATTGACATGGAACGTGAAGGATAATCTTATTGAATTTGGATTTCTTTTTCAAAGGCGATGATCTGATTCAGTGAAATGTGAAAATATCTGAGTTCTGGTATTTTGGGGTGGGGTGTGCTATTCTGTTCTTTTTCAGAGTGTCTGTCTTTTCTGTACATAGTACACCTTCGCCGAGGGACAGGCTGCTCAAATCAAGTGTATTGATTTGAGCATTTGAGTATGTGGTATGCATCTGGGATGTAAACCAGACATTTGGATGGGAACATTGTACAGTACATAAACAACATAACTACCAAACAGGCTAGGCTAGATCAGCCAAATGGCCTGCTCACTTTTTGAATTGTTCTTATGTTCTTAATACAGCACAACATTACTCCCTTTTACTAAAGCCACAAGCATTTACCACAGCTGTGTGTTGTACTAATTAGTTAACATTTGGTAGCATTCATCCCAGCTCTCTTAAGTAAGAAAGAATAACAAAGTAATTGACGTTCC